ACTTTGGTGTCTTCTTTCTTTCTTTTTCCTTCATGAGCAATCTGGCCGTGACTCCTGCAGATTCTTTCTCGGATTTATACTTTTCTCCCCTCCCCCCCACCCCCCACTAATCTTCACCCACTGAGCTGACAAACATCTTTTGAGTAACTAGCACCCAATTTATTAATTCTTCATGGACCAGTAGGGTCTATAGGGAATTTCATACTAAGCCACTAATTGGTTTGTTTACCGGAAGTCTCTCGCCCCTTAGCTTTTCCTGAATATGCCACCATAGTGCCTCTTCATCGCTTTCCCGCATAAGAGTCTGCATGACTTTCTATCTCCAAAGGCCCAAGCCTCTAAATTCTGTGTAGGTTGTTTTTAATGGAGTCTATTTAAGTGTTCTTACCCTGCCTATTGCACTTTACTTCCTGCCATTGATTTTCTTCAGGAATTTTCACATGCCAAATTCAAATTCTTGCCCCCAGATCTTTGTTTATACTTCTTGTCTATCCTGTAATATGACTACCTATCTCCATTCTTTCCATTCTTCCTAACTAAGTTGTTACTTACCTTTCAGGGCCATAATAAAGACTCAGCCCTCCATGAGACCTTCCCCAAATAGCAAAGAGGTTTAGAGAATCTTATACTTGGGATTCACTTCTCCCCTACTTCTTGCTATGTGAACTTACTGAAGGGAACTTACTGACTTTGTGTATCACTTTTATTTCTCTAAAGTTGGAATAATAATAGTAACTATTTCTTTGAGCTATATGAAGATTAAATAAGATAATTCTAATAAAATACTTAGCACAGTACTTATAATAGTACAAAATGCTGGCATATTGTCATTGACAAATAAAATAGCAATAACAATCATTATGATATACTTTTCCTCTGATCCCACTACCCCAAGGTATTTCTTTCCGTTGACTGTCTCAGAACATAGCTTATACTTCTCTGAAATCTCCACAGTGTCGAGCACAGCATAAATGTTCAATCAATGCTTAATATTTTGAAAACATGCCACATGCTATTTTGGGAAAATCTTGGAGCCAGTTTATTTCTGGACATATTTAATTGTATTTCATGGAATACATCAGCCACTATCCTTTAGTGGCTTGCTCCCTGACCTGTGGGATGTGTATTGATGCTAACTTAGGCTCTAGTTGTACAAATGATGATACTGTACTTCTGCCTACGACTGTGGCAGAAGTACTGCTTGAAAAACCATACCAACTATAAATGCCGTTTAAAGAAAATTCAGCCATACATTGAAATATCATTAGAGTATTAAAAATTTTCCAATATATCTGTAAACATATCATCAAAATAAGCCAGTTGAGGCAAATTTATGTCATTTGTCCAGATTTTATTCATCAGACTTTCATGTTTCATGCTATTGGTGGAATATTTTGGCTAGAAGTCAGAACATTGTGAAAATTAATTTACTCCAAAGAAGACTTACCCAGTGGGCTTCCTTATCATAGCTCTAGTGGGAAAGGAGTAACGATGCTCCACTTCCCTGGAAACTCTGTAGGGTGGCCCAAAAGCACGAGAATTTACTTTCATGGAGATTATTTGTATTTGGCTGCAAGTCAGTGAGGGTGCCCAGAAAGAGACATGTGGGTCTAAACGCTAAAGAGCCCCAGCTTTTGAATTGCAGAGAACCTGCACCAGAGGTCTTAAGATCTGGATTCTGAACCTGGTTTATCTCTCCATAGACTAAATGCTGCTGGGAGAAATCTCTTTACCTCTCTGAGTGTCAATTTTCATAGCTCTAAAATGAAGGTATCAATATTCAATTTGCTTTACTCACAGAAATGATGTGAGACTCTAGTGTGGTAATAAATGTGAAAGGCTTTTATAAAATGTCAAGCATCATACAAATGTGAATTGCCATTACTGATTCTATAATGAAGAGACAGAAACATAAGATGCATAGCTGGCATCCTGAACATGTAAGAACCTGCTGGTGAATGGACTGTTAGAATTGGTGTGAATGGTAAAGAATAGAAATGTTCCTATTTAAGAGGTAGCAAAGGAAATGTGAAGCAATCATAATTTACAACTAGGGCTTTAACCCCTGTGCAATAACCCCTGGAATCTATTTGTACCTGAAGATTTACTTAGGAAATAAAGCACTTTCTGAGGACTAAACGTGAACTAGGTTTATGAATCAAATTCTATCAAATGGGGCTTGGGAAGGGCATGCAGATATCGGTGATTGAAGGCAAATCGGAAGGAGGGACTGCTGGGTGAGACCAAGAAATAGGGTCTGAGAGTGTAGGATTGTAAATTGCAGAAACATACAGTGGCAGTTTGAACTCCCTTCTCTTTCCCTGTCCGTTGAGTCTAGCTCCCCTGTGCCAGAAGAAAGAGCTTGATCTATAATGAGCCAAGCAACACTCCATGGGGCCATTTCAGAGAACAGAACTCAGAGGAGGGAGGGTTATGCCTAGGCAGAGCCGTAGTGGGTAGTGTGCTTCAGGATTGGGGCAGGTACATGGGTATCTTGGAGTCTACTTGGCCTAGTGGCTGCTGGGACAGGTTCCAAAGCTCACATGACAAATGTCCCCCAGAGGAACTTCTACTAATACCAAAGGAAGAAGGGATCCTTAGATGGGAATCTGATGCTTTTGTAACCACATTGGGTACATAAAATTGATCTGAATAATCATGTTTCTTTCTTTTCTGTTTCATTCTTGAATCAGTGTCGGTACCCCTAGCCATTTTTACCCTGCATGTCATTTTTTTCCTTTTTGTCCCAACAAGCTTATTCTTGTTAATTTTCACCAAATTTCATATGTGTTAAAATCTGTTGTATGTCTATTCAGAGAAAGGGGGTGTGTGTGTGGGAAGGTCAGAGACGTATACAGACACAAACAAGAAGATATCCCAACAGATGGACACAAAGTGATTTGCTTCTGGAATGGCCATGATTAGACCACATAATGATCAGTGGTTAAAATGAGCCCAGAAATCTCAGGTTTTTTTTTTTTTTTCTAATCAGCTTTACTCTAAAACTTTAAATGTGCCTGTATATTTGAAACCAAGCCACGTGACAGACTTCTTAGAGGTTAATGTATTGAATGTCCTTTCCTTTTGAGTTTCTCTTTTTACCTCCCTCTTCTCCTCTAGCATAGGGAGATCCTTTTAAGAATCTGTCACATAGCTGTGTAAAGTTTTCATTTTTTTCCATCTCACACTACAAATAGAAACTGATTTCATTTTTTCTCACGTATAAAGAAATAGTGCATCTGATTTCACAGGCTAGAAAGAAATATTGGAAAGCATCCAGTTAGGCCCTGGGGAACCCCTAAAATTATTCTCTACCTTATGGACTGTCCAGATTGTTTGTATGTGTGGCTGGGTAATATGGGGGCAGAGAAGAGGGATTTGGGAAATAACATTTTCTCTTGCCCAGATGCTGTCAGTGAGTCATAGCTGGGTGAGTACCCTGGTGCCTACTGTGATTTGTAGAAGTCCATTTGCTCAGTGCCAGGTTTGGACGTCCAAGCAGCTGGGCAGACCCTCTGGGTTCCTCGTTAATGTAGCTCCCTTTCTCTGCAGGTTGTGTGGACTTCCCGTATGTGCAAATATTCCCTGAATAAACAGAGCAGTTTCTTTAGGCTTTCCTTGGATTGGATCTTTGATTTGGAATTGCTGAGGGTTAGAGTATCTAAGAAATGTGACCTTACTTAGCAGAGTTGGTGGATATTAGACATTAATAATAGTTCTTTAGAATTTACCAAAACATCTTTTATACATAATTTTATTAGAAGTGGGGAAACAATAGGGCATTGTTTTTACTTTATTTACAGGTGGAATAACTAGAAACAGAAATTAAGAAATACTAGCTATTGGAAAATAGTTTGGGTCTAAAATTGTCCAACAAACCTTGGAGATAATAAAAATAAATTTTCATTTTTTATACATGTCTTCCTCAATAAAATTAAGAAGATCTATAAAAACACTACCAACTGAAAGCATTAATATGAAATTCTTTGAAAATCGTGAAGTGGTATAAAGACATAAGGCATCTTGTTTTAAATACAGTTTGGAATAGCACAGGGTACACCTAAAAACCATAAATTGTTATTATTATTATTTAAATGAAAAGTTCTATCATTAATAAAGGTCCTTCCCATTTTCCATCCTGCAGATGAACTTGATTACAAGTGGGAGGAGCTTTGATGATCTTTTCAAAACCATTTCGAAGTCCTTTGTCCTACAAAGTTAGCATAAGTCCTAACTGCCATTTCTGTCTAACCCATTTCTTCTTATCTCACTGGATGAAGAATACCCAATCTGTGACCTGTAGAAAACAAATCCACTTTCCTTTCTGATAAGCCAGTCCTAAGGTTTTGCATGCTGGGTTATTGTTGGGATTTTGTATTATGAAATCTCCTGCCCTAAGGGTGACTGAGACTATGATCATTGCAAAAGAAAAATCAATACATTTTTGAGGCACCATGCTTTATAATTTTGAAACACTTTGACTGAACCTTCTTAATGTTCTTTGAAGCTTTACCATCACCTTTTTTAAAAAAAAGATTTATTTATTTATAAAAGAGCTGGGGTACAGGCCAGAGACGTGGGAGGATGGAGAGGATTCACCAGAGACAGAGTGGGGAGCATAACAGGCAGATGACCAAAAACACTGCTGACAGGAGCAGCAGGTGAGACAGGAGCAGTCTGCTGCGCCACATGGGTAACTCCCTGGCCGGTCAGTAATCGAACTTGCACTGCAGAGGCTGCGGACAGCTTCACAGTGCTGCGCTCAACCTACTGCGCGACCTGGGAGGCCCACCAACACCTTTTGACAGATTTAGGAGCTGATGTTCAGAGAAGTAAAGTGAGTATCTCAAGATAACTATAGCCAGGGAGTGAAGGAGGTAGGACTTGGGCTCTATGCTTTTTGTTCCCAAGTTCCTCCACTCTTTTTTTGGCAACCTAGGGGTTAACTGTGATGCTGACAAGTATAGAAGCAACTGTACATATCGGTCATCTCTATTATGACTCCATTGTCACCATGGCGAAGATGTGGCACTTCCCACTCTGTGTTTTTAATGATACTGCAGGCTGCCCTTTAATGATGATCATTTAGAGTTCAAGCTAAATCTCTACTCTTGTACTCATCTATTGTTTGTGACCATGGGCAAGTTACTTAACTTCTTTAAACTTCAGTGTCTACATCTATGAAATGAAGTGAGTGGTTATCATAAGGATTAAATGAGGAGATGTATTTAAAGTGGTAAGTACTATTCCTAGCACACAATTAGCATTAAATGTTATATTTCCTGTTATTTTTCTTGTTTCCCACTTCATTGCTGGGATGATTTACATTTCAGGCTGGTTCCTCCTATGTTAAGTTTTGTGGGGTGTGGTAGTTATTGAGTGAACATGTGCTGAGAGTGGGGGAGATTGAAGAGAAGTTTTGTGCTTTGTCCCTGGTCCACATGAAAACCTAATTAGAAGCCATAGCACTATTGGTGATAAAAGATTGGTTTGATTATTTTTTTCCTGGGTAAATGAATCCATGTTTGCTTTCCTTTCTTAACTCTCTCGTCCATCATATACTGTTCTGTGTTGATTGCTCATTGAACATGTGTTTAACCCAATTATGCATCCCATCTGTGTACTTGGTGCCATAAGGATGACAAAAAGAACAAGACATTGTCTCCACCCCAAATTTACTTGAGGAGGCTTGATTTCTAAGTATAAAAGCAGAGAACTATTCTGAGGTGAGGTGTGGTAGAAACTTAAGCCTGTTCTAGGAAAGAGTTTAAGGTTTTTTTTGCTAGCATGCTTCCAAGTGCTGTGACAACCACTTAAAATATTTTCCAAAAGGTGTTGATTTGAGATTGCTTTCCCAGTTTGATGATGTAAATAGAGAAGTTATCATTTGTATCTGACCACTTTCTAAGATATAAGCAATAATTTAAAATTATAAAATGGGATTAGGATTATGTTTGCTGTCCCACCAAATGTAAAATTTTTATTGGATATTATTTCTTTTTATTTAATATTTTTTTTATTGAGATAACATTGGTTTACAGTGTCATTTGTGTTTGGAAAGTATAGGGTCTCCCCCTTCAGGTGTTGTTACTTTACCACACCCAATGCCAGAATAGTCCACCAACATCATCTGTTGAATTTTTAGAGATTTTGTTTTGTAGTGCCTTAGGTGAGTTGCTTTCCTTATGTGTAAAATTCTCTAAATAAAGAGATCTCACTGGGCTGTTTTGCAGCGAGATCATGTGAAAGTATTTAGCATAGTGCTCACATATGGTAGCAAGTAGCCAATTAGCAATATTTTTCTTTGTATATTGATGGAAGTGCTCCTTGTCTTTTTATATTAGAGATTTAAATTAAGTCTTCCTTTTGAAGTCCTTTCTCTTGTTATTCACTCTTTTTCTCCTATCCCCTGGAGCATTTCAATATTGTCTACAACTCAGCATGGTTTTACATGCATAACCCATCAAAGAGTTAATAATAATGCTGTGCTCCAGCCTTTTGGATTGTTGGAGCTATTTAATCTGAGAAATCGTTGTGACTCTTTTTGTGCAACTCCTTGATGTCCAAAGCAACTAATTAGAGAGAGCCAGTATAGAAAATCAATCTTTACTAACATTGACATTTCTTCCAATTTAAGCAATTGCTGTGCTTATATTCTTTGTGACACCTGTTGAGATCTGAAATTATACTAGATGACTACATTAGCGGGTTCTAATAGGTCCTTGTTGTCAGAATAAAGATTATTTGTACATTAAATACTTAGTGAGAATTTGGATGGGATCCAGCATATTACATGCATTCATTAGATAAGCAATTTGCACACTTGACACCATTAAAGACGCCTTGGCCAAGGGGGACTATTCTAACTCTTTGAGGATCTGCTCTACTTAGAGGGAAGAGGATTATGTTAGATATTTCACTTTGTACCTCCAGTTCTTCCCCTTTCTCCTCTCTGTGTTCTAGGAAGCCAGCCTGCATGTAATACAGCCACAAGGTTCTCTTGGCCTCAGCTTCTAAGTGGGTTCGGCCAATGAGGAACATTAGTTATAAGCAAGAGAGAATAGAGCTTGTGAGGGCACAACATTTATTACCCTAAATCCCTATTTGCTAGGTCACCTTGTGCTGGCTATGTCCCTCTGCCTAAGGTCACAGCTCCTGTAAGGGTCCTCTCTACGTAGCTTGTTTGTTTCCAGCTCCCTGTGACTCTTCCTTCCTTGCTACTTTGGGTCTTGTTATAATCCCCAAGGTGTATTTTACCGTGTCTTGTGGTTTTTCTTGATCTCCTAGCATTTTTGTAAATGCTTAAAATTTTTACTTAACTGTCCTTAAATTACTCAATTTGAAGATGTTACTGTTTATTGGCTACTGACTGGAGCCCTGAGTGATAGAGGGGTAACTGCAACTTCTCTTGAAAGAACAAAGTGACCATCTGAATTACTGGTTTGTAAAAAATTCTGTCAACTCATAAAAATGCTGTGTGCCTTATGAACACAGGTAAAAGGTAACAAATTCACAAGAATAATACATATTGGTGTGGTTTGAGGCTAAATGGCATGTCATTTGGGTCAAATGAGGATATTATTAGCCTTTCGGTAAATATTATTGTCTTAAACAAGTATAGTTTTTAGGGGTGGAACAGAATACTGAATGTATGCATGTCAACTTCTTAACTTGTAGGTGAGGAATTGGAAACACCAAAAAAGTAACATGAATTGCTCAAAGGATTTGTATGCGGCAAAAATATTATTCAGCCACATTTTGTGACTCTAAGGCTAGTGGTGGTTTTAGTGCTGCAAAATTGGGAAAATGGTTAAATTTATCCTTCATTAAACAAAATACATGGATTTGACATTAATTTCTTAACTTGCAGCTGACTAGAAATGTGCTTGAGTGAGGTGTTCTGAATTTTGATTATTTATTTATTTATTTTTTTGTGTGGGACCCTGGCTGGTGGGCGGGGATCCAACCGGCACTGCAGAGGCTGCGGGCAGCTTCGCAGCCCAGCGCTCAACCACTGTGCTACCAGGAGAGGCCCAGTTTTGATTTGTTTTTAAGCAAAAAATTAAGTGTAAATGGCGAATTTCAGTTTACGAGAAGTTACCTGTCACATCAGTGAAGCCAAAAAGAACAGTGTTGTGAAGAAAGTAATGCTGTTTTACAACTTGTTTATTTATTCATGAAGGGCAGTTTTTTTTTTTCTGTATAGTACCTTTAGACTTAGACATTTATATTTGTGCTCAGTGGTGAGTTACAAAAGTGCTCAAAAAACCCATGAATATTTTTCATTTTTAAAAGTTTTAGGAGAATCATTCTCTCCTCATTGTCTCTTATCTGAAAAATATTTGATTTTTTATTGTGTTTCTGCTGTGTGCACCCTGAGAATTGAACCAGTTGTTACATCAAAGGTGCCAGTGTTTTTGCCCTTAGAATAATAACAACCTAACACAAGGAATATGGGATAGAGATTATTTCCAATTTTGAAAATAAACAATAAATCTTTCTGCTGAAGTCAACTGTTAGGAGGGTCTACAAGATAACACCTCCAGTTAAAGTGTAATTTCCCAGAGTCAAGGGTGATAACTCACATTTCTTTCATAGTCTCCTCTCCCCCTTTATGGTGATCAGGAAAAATGTTAATTATTTAGTAAATTTTTGACAAATAAATAGATGAAATAACAAAATATTTCATTTAATAGTTTCAAGAATAAGAAAGGGAGTTCCATCTATTCTGTTGTTTTATCTAGTTTATAGTTGCTAGGCTAGCTGGTTTATGTGTTAGGACTATTACTTTGCAATATATTGTGTGTGGGATTGATGTCAATTTTTTTCTGCTTTGGTTTGCATATATTAAAATTGGATAGTCAATTCAATATTATTTTTTTAATAAATTAAAACTGAAACTAGGTAAACAAATCAATGACAGGGTGATCTGAATCAATTTTACTATGAAATCATCACATTTCTTATACACAGAACTTTGAAAACTAATAAACATAAACTGTTGCCTTCAACTTTTACAGTTGATACTGATCCACAAAAACTGTGACTCATATTGGGTAGTTTTCCTTGTATTTTAAAAGTACACTGGGATGGTCTTCACTCAAATTCTCATTTCCTGGATAATGCCACGTGTTACTATATTATGTAGTATTTTGAACTATAAATTTTGATTTTGTGTAATGCAAATATATGCCATTCCCTTTCATGCATCCTAAATGGTTTCTTGTTTTTTTAATATCAACACTGGCTTAACTATTTTTCGAATGAGAGAGATTTCACAAAAGCCTATCTGTTGAAAATAGTCAGCCACATGCTTACCAAGATTTAAATATATTTTGATAATGACATTTCCTTCAAAAGGAAAATGAAATAGGAAGTTACATCATGAAACAGAAAGTTATACCATTACCTTCTAGTGAGAGTATGCAATGCTCCTTTATTACTGATCTTATCCAATTAGTTCTGTTCTTCCTTTCATCCCAAGGTGGAAGAATACAAATCTCACAGGTTGCAGGACTTGTACTGGGCCATTTATGTGAAGGTGTGGTGTCTCTGTGTGCATTTGTTTCTCATTTTCCTTTATTTCTTTTAAAATGGTAAAGACCAGGGAAAACTCCCATTTGTGCAATGTATAGCTAACTCTTTCTCTTTGCCTCCATTTCCCTTCTATATATTAAGAGTAGAAGACTGTTTTTTATAAGAGGCCCAGGAAACATTCTTGCTATCTATCAATTCATTTCTCACTGTTGTCTTCAGCATATAAAAGTTTAGGAGGCATGTATAATTAATACACTAATGAACAAATGCATAAGACCACAACATAACTTTTCCACGGACCTTTCTCTTTCATCATCACTAAGGAAACTTGAAAAACATTCTCATGAGTGTACATACTTAAGTATATAAGATACTTTTTTGATAAACTCTAGTTATTGAGGATTGATAGGAATTGATGTTAGTTAATATCACCTAATGCAATTTTTGTCCTTCTTTGGGAAAGGCACAGAACCCTAAAACATTTTAGAATGGCATTGAGTAAATTATAAGATGTTATGATAGCAACTTTAACATTATCTAAATTGATTGAAACATTTCTATATATCTGGATTTTAGTTAATCCAGTTGAAACTGTTCATTATTGTCAAGTTACTAGAATTCAATGAAAGAACACAGAAGCATGAACTTTAATGTACTTTTAGGGTATTTTTTGTGTTTTTGCTTAATCTTATGAGGTAC